AAGTAGCAAACTTACTGGAATACTAATAATTGGTGGAGGCTGTGCATATCCAAAGTTCATCAGGCACTAACTCAGCTCTTCTTCAGATAACGCTTTTGTAGTGAAGAGGCTAGGCAAACAGAATGTGCCCCTGCCACAGACGGCTTATCATAGTCTTCACTTATCAAACAAATATTTGAGACACGGTGTTTAATCAAAGGCAGAAGAGAAGCATGGTCAGTTAGGAATTTAAAGAGATCTTAGGAGTGACTCCTTTTTCCTAGGGCATTAGTACTGTGACAGGAAGGCTTCCAAGATGGACTATTATTTGGGCTAGAGGTTTAAAAATGCAGTTATGTGGGTGATGGTGGCACACACCTTAAATCCCAGTATCTGGGAGATGAAGGTAGGTGGATCTCTGTGAGTGTGAGGCTATCCTGGTCTACAAAGAGAGTTCCAGGACAGATAGAGCTGTACAGAGAAATCTGCTCTCAAAGAACCAAAAAAAAAAAAAAAAAAAAAAAAAGAAAGAAATAAAAAAGAAAGGGGAAAACACACAGTTTTAATCAGAAGAAGGTAAGGCATTTTAGACAAGGGGACAATAAAAAACATTAAGAGAATCGGAGACTACTTGGAGAACAAAGATGAGCCCATGTAAATGTGGTGGAGAATATGCTGGGATGGAAACTTAGGATGGTGTCTGGGGATAGATAACCTTGAATGCCATACAGACAGTGTTGTGAAAAGGTACATGGAGCTGTCAACACTCAGTTCCATGGAATTTTCTTTGACAGAAACTCCCGCCCAGACTTCAAAACCAGCATGTGGGATTCTTCTCCAAGGTTTTCCCAGCATCTGCCAATAGGATTATTCAACTGGGTCTTCTCTGTTTCTGTTCCTGAGCTCATCCACACTTGTTGCTGATGTCACAGGGCATACAAAAGTCCAATCACAACTGTCAGCTCTGAGCATTGTTCTTAGAATCAATCATCATGATTCCTTCTTGACCCTTTCCACTTTTCCATCCCCTCCACTTGACAACTCAGCTCCCACATGTGCCTCAAGGTCTGCTTTGAACCAATCAGTGGACCCTGGGTTCTTTGTTCCCATGGTGGTTTACTTTTCTAGTCTCCTGGGTGTAGAACCACAGGTAGGAGTCTTGGCTTCTACTCATTCTATCCTGGGAAATCAGATCAGCTAAATGACTGTCTTTGAGACTTCACCAGTGTAGGTCTCTATACTCTGAGACCTTTGTGCCTGTATTTTTGCTGTGTCATTTGTTTCTATTGCTGTAAAGAGACTATGACCACAGCAACTCCTATAAAGGAAAAACATTTAATTGGGATGGCTTACAGTTTTGGAGGTCTAGTCAATTACTATCATGGTGGGAAGCATGGTGGCATGCAGGCAGACATGATGCTGGAGAAGTAGCTGAGAGTCTATATCTTGACTCACAGGCAACAGGAAGTAGTCTGTCTCACCAGGCATGGCTTGAGCATATATAACACCTCAAAGCCCACATCCACAGTGACATGCTTCCTTCAATAAGGCCATACCTCCTAATATTGCTACTCCCTTTATGGAAAGAGCCATCACCCATAGTAACAATGTTTTTCACCTTGTACTAGCTAGTTTTACATTGCCTTCACACAAGCTAGAATCATCAGAGAGGAAGGAACCTCAGTTGAGAAAATGCCTCCATTTTCTCCAATGTAGGGCATTTTCTTTATTACTGATTGATGTGAGAGGGCCCAGCCCATCGTGGTTGGGGCCACATCTAGACTAGCCCTGAGTTCTATAAGAAAGCCGACTGAGCAAACCATGGCAAGTAAGCCAGTAAGAAGCACCCCTCCATGGCCTCTGCATTAACTCCTGCCTCCATATTCCTCCCCTGCTTGAGTTCCTGCTGTCACTGCTTTTGATGATGAATGATATGGAACTGTGAGTGAAATAAACCCTTTCCTCTCCAAGTTCCTTTTGGTCATGGTGTTTTGTCATATCAGTAGTGACCCAACTAAGACCAATTGGTACCAGGATCATGGGATATTGCTGTGACAGACCTGTGTTGTTTTGGGGAGGATTATGGAAGGACTTTGGAATTTTGGACTAGAAAATCCATTGAGTGTTCTGAGCTTTTCTGTGGGAGCTTAGAAGATAAGAATGTCGAGGGCAGTGCAGATGATGGAAGCCTGGTTTGTGGAATTCCAGAAGGAAGTTTGAGAGTCACTTCAAGACTCTAGTGGGACTGTTCACTACTTTTTAGTTGAGAATCTGTGGTTCTGGCTAGCTGGGACTGAAGAATCAGTTGTGATTAACAAGAGACCAGAGTCGCTGACACAAACCTTTGCTTTGCTGGGATACTCTATGCTGGCCAGCTGGAGTTGAAAAATTAGTGGTGATTAAAAAGGTACGCATGTCATTGAGGTGCAATCTTTTGGGAAGTGTTTCCTCAGAATCAGTACAAAGAAGCTATGTTTCAGAGGTGACCAAAGTTGTACTTTTCACTGATGGTCAAACTTGGTAGTGTAAAAGTCACCCAGGTGGTACTGGTTTTGAAAGTATGAGGGGGTTATGAGAAGCAGCTGGGCTGGGCACTATACGTAACCATGATAGGCCATTAAAGAAGGTGCAGCCACAGTAGCAGCAAAATCCCCATGATCCAGAGGTTATGGAGGAGAAGTTGAGGCTTGGTACCATGAAGTGAACCTAGGAGAGGCTATTGGCGAAAGTGTAGCCCACTTGCAACAGAGATCTCAGCATTTTGGAGATGCCAGCACCATGAAATGACCACCAAGAATAGCAGAGCAATGAAATAGAGCTTGCCAGATCCTGGAAGAAAAACTTTGCATGCTGCAGAGACAGAACCGTTATTATAAGTGACCTAAGACCCTTGGAGGAGCCCAGAAGATCGTGAATGAATCCCAGATGTTGGACATTGAGTTTTTTACACTCTTGGAGTTTGGTTTTACTTTGTTCGGATTGTGACTGCCCTGATTCTTCCCTCTTGAAGTAAGAAAATATTTAACCTAATTTTCATTTTTACAGGAGCTGACAGTTGAGAGACTTTGAACTTTTAAAAGAGATGCTGGGTTTTTTAAGTGACTGGATATTTTAAAGAGATTGCACCACTCTTTATAATGTGTTTGAATTTGAAAAGACTGTAGAACTTTTAAAGTTATTTGTGTTTTATATTGGAATATTAATATCAACATGCTATCTGGAGGATAAATGAGAAAGGAAAGGTTCTAGTTGAACAGTGATGTGTTTGTATGTCAAGCTGACAAGGGATCATCTGGGATGGCTAATTTTATGTGGGTGAAATAAACCTTTTGCCCCCCCCAATTGCTTTTGGTCATGGTGTTTAATCACAGCAATAGTAACACTATGACACACCTAGATAGAGCCCTTTTAACTAGAAGATCCCTCCAAACACTCATTAAGTAAAAAGATTTCCAGAGTCCCATTCCTGTCTGATCTGAATAGAAAATACATTTTTGCCACATCTGCAGGGGCATGACCACTTTATCTCTGAAAACACATGATGAGCGACAATGGAACTAACTCTGGAGCTTGGAGCTGTTGCTGTGAAGACCCAAGGCCAGGAACCACGGGGTCTGTTCTGATCACTGAATAACCATAAAACAGATGCTGTGTAATTGGGTTGGCTGTACTGGAACTACTTTCTTGATTTCTAATTTCAAATATTTTCTCTGTCCCTGATCCCCTTATTCATAGAAGAGGAATAAGAAGTCTGTGGTTTGATGGTTCAGGGCCAAGTTAACCATGTCTGTCAGATGTTTGTGAAAATCAAAAGTTCCCGACAGACTCAAATCATAGTGTAAATCCCACTCAGGGTAATTTGAAGGGGTTTGGTGACTGACTCTCCTGTCAAAGAATGGACATCTGTCTAGCTGACTTTATCCAATGTGAGACAGGACTTATCATCTCTTTATTCTTGGGTTTCGAACCAGAAGCACCAAGATCTTCCCCCTACAGGTGACCAGGTCTGGGACCAGAACTTGCCCAGAACACCCTTTTTGAAGTATTACCCACACACAGCTGTTTTATTTCAGGTCAACTTGCAAAATTCAGTGATTCTTCCTTGAGCAGACTCAAAAGTGGGGCTCTTTGCTAGGTGCTATGTGCCACGACAAGAATCATTTGTGCTCAAAACTGGCTTGGTCTACACCACCTCTGCTCCCAGCTTTTTGTAATGCAAGGAACTGGCTCTACCCTCAGATTCTTTGTGAGATTCTGTATAACCAATTGGATATAGAGGAGTGAGAGTCAGCCTCTTCACTGGGGACGTTTAGAGAAGCCAGTAGAATATTGCATGGTAAAATGTGTTGTTGCAGACCTGAAAGTGTAGTTCAGCCAGTGGTAGGCTCTTGGTTAACATAAGCAAGTATACCCTCGGTTCAATGCCTGTGCCTGCAAAAGAGTTGTACTGCAATTGACAGCCATAATTATAAGTCACCCTCAAAGGGATTTCATCTTGCTAGGAAGCATGACAGATGCTTGAGGAGACCTTACGTACACACACATAGAGCATGAGGGAGACCCTGAATGCCCCCACATCCTCTGTGAGCATCTGATGCCCCAGTGCCTGCCACGGGGCTTGATATAACCCATTTCCACCAGCAACATGAAAACAGTAGTAAAAGAGGATTCCTAGAACCTTTCCATGGTCCATGGGTTCTGAATGGTGTTGAATTATCCCCCCTCCACCATCCCTGCTAGAGTCTGAGGTGAGTTATGGATTGAATGTGAATTCCACTACTTTTAACCCCTACCATGGTGCCACTGAACCTTTCTGAGGCCTCTCAGAGAGTCCTCACATTTCAACAAGCTCATCACTACTTCATCAATCTCTCCATCCTTGCTGGACTTTGAAGCCAGAACTCCAACATCCGTCCTATCCTATCATAGCCACCCTGTGTGATCGGGTTAGCCTCCTCTTTCTTTTATCTCCAAGTCTTAGTATTTCCCACGAAAACAAGCACAGGGTCCTGCACATGGTATGTGTTCAATAAATATTTATTGGATGAATGGTTCATTTTCTTCTCCATATGATATTCAAAAAGACTTAATTAAGGGATTAACTATATGAGGCTCCGTGCCAGGTGCCCTACAGAGATAATTACAAGGAGGAACCCTGTCCCTAAGTAGCTTAACATCTAAAACTATTAAACAGATATAAACACTCATTTATAGCAGCCAATGACCTGGGTTGTTAATCTAGAATCTATTGGCATGCTCCTCCCCCAATGGTTGCATCTATGAATCCCCTGAATTTGTATGGAATCTGTTGCATGTGAAATAGGAGCCATAGGCATTGGGAAAATTAGAACTAAAAGCTTGGTAAGAAGTGAGAGACGTCAAATTTCCTTCAGATATGTTAATTGGTTAGATGAAGGCTAGGAGAGTTAGGGTAGAAGCATCATGGGTAATTCTTGGATTCACTACATGAATCATTTGTTCTGCCATGGGAGTGGGAAGATGATAGCTTGATGGAGAGATGGCAGAAGACCTGGAGGAGAAGAGAGACAGAAGGCAGGTGCTAAGGAAGTGTGGATGTCTACCAGGCATAGATCGAGCAAATGGGTGGTGAATGAATTAGAGCTATGGAGAGAAGCAGGCTGGGAACATCAAGCTGGGAAACTGCTGTGTGTTTTTGATACTTACAGCCAGCTGCTGACAGTGTAGTACCCTCACATGCAGAGTTGACCCTGGTAAGAAGAAAGCAGTAGTCAGTTATGTGAAATTTTACCTCTAGGAGCTGTATCATTTCAGTGTGTTGATACAGTGTGTCATTGACTAAACAGAACTGGAATGTAGGAATCATGTCTTATTAGTCCTAAAATTTCCAGGGAACATAATCATGGGTACAGTAAATGATATTCACTCTTATAAGTGGAAAAAGAGCAGGGGGGAGGAAAGAGGAAAAGGAAAGAAAAGGAATGGAAAGGAAAGGAAAAAAGAAAATCTCAAAGGCGAATAAAATATCCCTAAATTTGAGGTTTCTGTGGCTAAGATCAGCAGTCTCTATCAACCTCAGGGTGAAGGTTAGGAATGGGTGTGCCATCATATGTCTCCATAGGGAGCAGGATAGCGGCACTGCTGTGTCAAAGATCTGGAGTCCTTGGTAGGACACACACTCAACAATGACATCTGTGCACAAGGGCACTTGGCTGGGGAACAACTGCACTTCCACCTCCACCATCTGTCCAGTGAATTCCCAGCCCACTGGCTACAGTGTTGCTTACCTCTTAATTACTGGCCTTGGCTCCCACCTGGCTCCAGAGAGCCGCTCTGCTTCCCTTCTGCATTTTAAACAGTGACCTGACAAAGCCTGTGTCGTCTCTCAGTTGAGGTTGCCTTTGGTCAACTTGAGCCAGACTTTCCCCCTTGGATATCCTGACCTTGCCCATTCAGAGTTTCTGAGCAGCTTGACATCCCGGTGGCCCTGGCAGCTCTGAGCTGATTCTGCTACTCAGAGGCAATGCCCCATAGGGCAAACTGGCATTTAGAGCCCCTAACAGTAGCTGGCAAAGAGAAAACCAATTAAGAGGGCAGTTGAGAGGTGCCTGGACCTATGGCACAGTTACCATTGGTAGACTGTCCAAGTGGCAGTGATGGTAATTATCTGATTCTCCCATACTCTGTTTAAGATTCTGGAAACGTGGGAAAGAACTCAGTTTAATCAGTTTACCTCTCTCCAGACGAGGTCTAATTTATACTATTCTCCTAAAAACGTTTGGATATTTTCTTTCTTTGAGGATAGGGTCCTGAGGTTAGGAAATCCTAGTTCAGAGCATACGCCACAGGTGGAGAGTTCCTCTGGCTACATTCACCCAACCTGCTTCCCTTTGACCCCCTTTGGCTCTTTCCTAAATCCTAATGCATAGAGAAAGTACCCAGGTTCCACCCATCCCTTCTGCATCGAGTTGCTTTTGCGCTGCAGATGTCTTTCCGTGTCAGCTTCCTTGACCATGGCAGTGAATGGAGCACAATGCCTATATCTCTGAGAAGCCTTTTCTCACCAGCAGTTTGGACATATCCTAGGTGTTTGAGAAAGCCCACGTACAGGCATTTGTATAAGCATTCTAGGGTCTGGGCTTTTATGAAGAAGCGAGAAGGAAATATTAGTGAATTTTGTTTCAAAGCATTTTTTTCATTGTATCCTAACTAGTGTTTACTTCAACAAACCTTTTGGGAAAAAAGGCCAGAGAAACAGCTCCCCATTTTTTGCAGACAGCAAAATCTAGTTCTTTACTAGGAAGATCTTTACTTGAACTTGGGTTTTCAGGTTCTGACTACAGGAAGAATTTCTCTGTGGGTAGAAGGCATTACACATTACCTGATTCATTCATCTGGGATGAAGATGCCAGAAAAGTGCTCTGAGAATGGGCCTTCAACTCTGTTGTTACCCATTTGGTGTCTATTGGTATCTTTGGAGTCAGCAAGGGAGTTTAGGAATCTGTTCATTATATTTTCTTTATAAGAGAAATACTGTCCAATGACAGCTTTGGTACATTCTGGACTAATGGAATATTATTTGAAGTATTTGAAAACTAGTTCTATCTTTTCAGTCCTCTATCATAACCGAGAAGCTTCAGAGTCTGATCTGGGATGGCAATGGCACCACAGGACCAGCATCAGAGTACACCCTGCTGATTGCTGGAGTCAGGAGTAGCTGCTCGGGAATCCCTTATCAGATGGTGTTCTTGCTTGGCTTTAGATGGAGTAGACTCGGGTATTAATCAACAGGTCTGACTACATACATGTGCAGGGCAGCTGGAGATGGTTCCTTGAACAATTGAGAAAACCCACGAGGGATTTACCCTATAGTTAAACAGCCAAAATCAAATGCTTGAAATTCAATTGGGTGACAAAGTACATCATCATGCATGTTAATAAGAGAGTTGGTTATTCCAAGGCAGAGGTGGGTAGATCTATGAAGCTTACTGCCTAGCCAGTCTAGCATATTTGGTGAGGCCAGTGAAAGACTGTTTAAAAATGTATATATCTCTTGAGGAATAATATGGTTTTATACATCACTTATTCCACATTTGAATATTATATACTTCCTGTGCTCTCAGTTTCCCTTATCGTAAAGTTGACTATTACATTAGTATAAACAAGATTTTGCTAAAATAATGAAAGTCTACACTTAAAGCATTAGTATGAAGAAGCCTTATTTCTTGCTCAGGTAACACATGCAGAAAAAAGTTGTTGGGACTTCTCTGTTCCATGTGGCACTTGGAACCCAAATTCAGGAAAGCTTGCTGTCTTTTATCCAAACTTTGCAGTATGAGCACCACGGTTCCCAAGGAAGGGAGGAGAAGGTTGGACAAGGAACACTGACTCTTAAGCTGTTTCCACTGCTCATAGTCCATCCATGGTTCTAAACTAGTCATGTGAATCCAAGACCATGTAGTGGAAGTTGGAGACTATGACACTAATAGTTTCTGCTACAAATGAGAAGTGGATATAAGAATAGATGTGTTCTCTCCCCCCATACCTGCTCAAAACCACAGTGCAAAACACAGGATGCTAGGGATCTTCAGGGAGATGGAGACAAAATACTTAAGAGGGGCTGGGTAGGTAGGTCAACAGGGCTGAGTCTGGGGAAGGATTTTGTTGATCATGATGTTTCAGTAAAGCTGGGAAGATTGGTAGGCTTTGATAGACTTTCAAACAAGCGCATATTGACAGAGAAGCATCAACAAAACAGTGAAAGTTTGCTTGGGGGCAGGTAGAGCACAGGAAAAGGAAAAACAGTCCTAAGACAGTGATGTCTGGTGAAGAAGCAAGCATAAACCAGGCCTGGGTACTAGTTATGTGTACTAGCCCATTTTATTATATACACAGTCTTTGGTCCAAATAAGTTTAGTAACTCCAAGGCATGATGATATGCGACAGAGCTAGTGTTTTCTCCAGTGGGTACACTAAACACCCATTGGAGGATTCGGTGAGGGCAGATGCCAGAAGGCCACAAACACCATTTGCTCTGAAGACAGAGAACAAAATAGAAGGTTTAAGAGCAGGAGAAGCACGGTTGGTGCAGGTCCAAGTGTGAACTCCTGGGAGAGTGGAGCAAAGGACTTGGAACTGGGTTCTCCCTGCAGCAGAAGCAGAGGCTATGGCCCATTAAGTAATCAAGTGTGCTCCAGCCAAGTAAGAACATGATTTGGAAGCAGATAGATGTGTCTGGAAGGCATAGGCTTCAGAGAAAGGAAAATATGGGGCCGTGCAATATGGCAAGAGGTTGCAAGCCTAGCATTAGCTCAGTTTTATTTAGCCGGCAAGAAAAAGATGGGCACTATGAAGACACAATTGAGGAATGTTTGGAGTAATGCTTCTTTGTCCTTTGCTGTCCGCAGCCTGATTCTAGTCCTGGACCCCACACACCTGTCCTTTCAAAGCCTGAAGACATTTTTAGAGCCAATCCCAGCAACTCCTTGTTCTGTCTTTCAAAAGATCTCCTCTTCTCTATAAGCAATGAAATAATTGAAATCAGGTTGTTGTTTCTCTCCCCTGTCCCCCCTTTTCTTTTTTACAAGAGCCATTACAAAGGTGTGAAATATTAGACACTTACGCATCTGTGAATAAGATTGTAGGCTAAAAACGTGTGAGTTCCCGTCTCAGCTAATGAACCAGAATCTGGTTTTAATTTTTGAACAGCAAAAATGTTCTGCCTTTTTTTTTGGTCATCCTGCAGAAGACTTCATATTTTAATAATTCAGTGGAGTCTAATTATTTTAATTAATCACCTTCTTTTGAGAGTTGTCAGTGGGCTTCATTATATTCTTGTTGCTGTAGGTACTGTTGGGAATTTTAAGGATACACACACACACACACACACACACACATATATATATAGATAGATATATATACATATCTTGGTCACTCACAGATGATGGCTGATCTGTTCATAACTCCTGTTTCTTTTGTCTCATTTCTGCCCTTTGACAAGTTAACAGAACCATCTCTGGCCATTCTGTGCCTTAAAAATTGCTGCCTAGAGAGAAAAGGAAAATGCTATTTAGAGCCAGTCAATATTTTTGCATCTTTTGGGGTCATGATGGATATACTGGGACTGACTGACAATAGCTTTTATTTTACAGTCAGCATAATTTGCTTTCCTTACAACAAAGCCCAATTAACTTGTAGTTCATGCTGTGGCAATGAAAACATGTTCATTTCTGAAGTTGGCTGGTGGAGGCTCCTTCCTCACTTGAATGTGGTGTTTCTGTTTGGCCCTGACCCAGGTTCACTGGGCATCACTAAACAGATCTTTTAATTTTTGAGACTATGTAAGTTCACTGCATGGAGGGAAGACAATGCTTTAGTATGGCATTAGTAATTCACAAGTGGAATGTTTGGAGGCTCCATGCTAGAGGCTGGCTTGGAACGAACCTGTGTGGCTTAAGGGCCAGGTTTCTTATATTTTTGGTTGTGAGCCTAGCCTTTAATGGCTGAGCTATCCCTCCAACCCAAGTGCCGGATTTTTAATGTTGCTTGTTCATCTGGCTTCATGGACTGTCTATTTTCTTACTGATTCCTTTGAGACCGCTTCACATAGTTCAGTCTGACCTTGAGCTTGCTGGGCAGCTGCCTTGAACTTCTGAATCTCCTGCGTCTACACTCAGTCTGTGAGATGCAGCCCAGGACTTCATACCTGCTAGGCAAGCACTCCACCAGGCTACATTCCCAGGCTTTTCATTTTTTTATTTTTTAAACCATTAAAGAGAACTCAGATCTTATGGTTTTATTTCCTCTTGTAAATATAAAATAATATCCAATTCATCAACACATTGAAATACAAAGAGAGGAACACCATGCTGCCTTCCTTTAGGGATCTCCTTTCTCCCCTTGGCAGTTGCATGGCTCTGAACTTCCCTATGCAGACTGTAACATCTTTCCTGTGCTTGTTATGCTTCTGTCCCTGGTCCCAGGGCTCTGCTCAGTTGGGACAGGACAGCTAGCCCTGCCAGGCAGTCAGGTTTTATGAGAACTAAGAACAATGTGCAGTGTACAGCCTGCCTGGGTGCACTGTATCAGATTCCTGCAGACTGTGGAGAGATTTCCATTTGTGGTGCAGACTGAAGACTTTTATTTTGAAATGCCGACTGTCTGAAATCAGATTTATTCAACCCTGACTTTGGCTTTGAAATGAGGCTCACATGGTACCTGTCACCTGAAGGGTGCAATTAGGGTCCACACATGGAGCTGTGCTTTCTGTCAGTGCTGTGGGGTGGACATGAGCAGAGCCTTGGCTTTGTTTGGCTGAGGGAAAAAAGAAGGCCTGTTTAGGAAGCTTTTGTTGTTTCACCTTTTCCTGTCTTCTGCCTCTGCCCCACCCTCCATCCTCCCAAATCTACAGCAACTTGGGAGGACTCGGCAATTGACAAGAAAAAAAATCAATAATCAGATCAATCCCTGCTGTAGATCCAGAAAGACTTGTGGTGGAAAACAGTCCTGGTCCTTTTGAGTCCCCTGAAATTTTTGCATGGCATCCAGAGATGGTAATTGATTGAAACTGCCTGTGGTTTTAGGAAGTGCTCTGGTTACAAGGAAACATCCTTTTATGTTGCTGGATGCCAGCCACAAAAATCTCTGCAGTCAGGGATCTGGCAGAGGTTGAGCTCCTCCAGGGTGTAAATAAACCAGCCTGGTCTATAACCCAATAGAAGTCAATTTATTGTGTGTGTTTCAAATCACTCAGCTCAAAGCCCTGCCCGGTTATTAAAGAAAAGGTGTGGGGTGCAGCCTGCAGCTCAGACAATAGGTGACAGCAAACCGCAGTGTTTGTAAGGTCTGTGGAAGTCATGGAGGAAACGGAGGGCCCTGTAGCGGTACATCTCTCCTTCCCTGGTTTCTAAAGAACTGCTGGGAATCAAGACACTAAGCATGATTGGCACCCAGAACTGCTTACTATGCTAGCTGGGAGCCTGGGGCTCACAAAACTTAAGTGGGTGACCATTTTATAACACTGGTGTGGAAAGCCAGTGACATTTTTTTTTTGCTGCAGTGTTCTGCCATGGAAAAGGCATTAGAACTGGAAGTTTAGCTGGGCCTTGTCTTGTTACCCACTGAGACGCCATGGCAATGTGGTGATGGGAGCTTGCTCGCATGCCTTGGGCAGGAAACATGTTGAGTACCAGGTCACACAGAGAGCCAGTTCACTGTACAGCAGAAGGTTCATTTAGTCCTGATCAAGAGTAGAGGAAGAATCCCAGCACCTTTGCCTCCAGCTTTAGTATAATTGCAGTCCGCACACGGAGTGTGGCAGCAGGTTAAGGGTATTAAATGTTCTCGGCCTTACTTGCGTCTTGTTCCAGACTGGCAATGGCAGTGAATTATTAGAGAAAACCAGGGTAATCTGCACAAAGCAGTCGCTTAATTGCTTCTTCAGCCCTGGTCCATCGAGTCCCACTGCCCATCAATACCCTAAAATATGCTAAAAGAGACCCCACCATGATTTCATAATTATTCCATTTCACTTTAACATAGCAAGGCATTAATAGTCTGGCCGCAGTCTTTTTTTTTTTTTTTTTTTTTTGGTGATGGTGGTGGCCTCCCTCCTAACTCCATCCCCTTCATTCTCATTGGCTCCTGCCAAGTACCAGGGAACCAATGAGATTCCTCTTCTTCATTCATGTCCTAGCAACAAGCCCAGTTCCAATCTTTCTCTGCCAAACTAACACCTGAAAAATTACATCATGAATAATGGCAAAAAGCAGCAAGGGCCAGAGAAGGGCTTTTTTTTTTTTCCTTCATCTGTCTGCTTCAGAGTTCATTTAAGGTGTTTTTGTCTAGATTCTTAAAGCAACAATGTCCTAGATTTTTGCTGATCTTTTTCAGCCACCGGTTAACATATATATATATATATATATATATATATATATATATATATATATATATATATATATATATATATAATACCCAGTCACTGAATGCAGCAACAGCTTTTTAGGCTAAATAAAAGGAAAACATTTTAATGTGGGTTCGCTGCATAGTCCCCCACGCCCTCAGAAAGGTCTGCATTCAGAGGAATGGGGAAATTGATTGCTCTTCTTTAGGAAAAAACTAAATTGCCCTAAATCTCACAGGCAGCCCACCCACTCTTCAACAAAAATGTAGCCCCTGTCCCGGCAGTTTCTCCTGTTCCAATTACATATCCCCAAGGCTCCTTTCGTTACTTTTTTGGGATAAAGCCCATTCTTTATGGGGATCATGTAGCCAGGGAATGAGGTACCTAGAGAATCTCCCCCCAGAAGTGGAATTGTGGGAGTATACAGGTCCACCGGGTGGAGGTGCTTTAGCACGTGTAGGTCCGTGCATGTGGGGGCAGAGAATGCAAACCCACAGCCGGGGAACCGCAGCGACAATGACATCCAGATGACCCAGGCAGGGGTGGGTGGGAGAGGAAACTGAGAAAGTGAGGTGGGCTGATGGCGAGTGGACTTGCGGGGGAGGGGAGTGATTGGGGTGGGGGTGGAGGCCCTGGAGGGGTCAGGGTTGTGAAAGAAAACGTCCACCCTTCTAGGCATTTTTCAAGTCCCAGACGCCGCTTCCGGCTTCCCCCACCCCACCCAGTCTAGAGCAGACGCTGCTCGAGGAGACTCAGACACAAAGGACCGCAGCCCCGCGCAGGCATCGAGGGGGGAGGGGAGGGACACCTGCCTGTGTGCACGTGCAGGGATGCAGCCGGCGAAGTCCTGGAGCTCAGTGCCACCTAGGTCTCCCCTGCAGGCTCCTGGACCTAGGGAGGGCAGGAACCTGGCAAGGATCCCGGGAGCCGGCTACAGGGGTGGGTGCTTGGCTGAAGGAACAGAGAATAGATCCACTGGGTGCTTGACTCCTAGGTGGGGCTTTCTGATCTCCTCAGCCATCTTCTTGGCTGCAGGGTAGTTGGGATCTGCCGACAGTTGGCCTGGGTGCTTGTCAAAGCCAGTAACTATAAATCCCGGGTAGGAAAGAGAACCCTGCTGGTCAAGGGACTAGATGGAGGAGTGCTGGAGAGCTTGCTCTTGGGAAGGAGGTAGAGAGATGCAGCCTTTACCACCCTACACACAGGCTGCAGTAGTAACTCTTACTCAAGTTCTCCCTGTTATGCCTCTGTGGGTGCGGGAGGAATAACAAAGAGTGGGGATGAGGTGCTCGAGGGGATGCATGCCTCTTTTCTACCTACTCAGCCTGCTTCCTGGTGGTCCAAGAGAGGGGCTCAGAAATCTCAAGCATCCCATCCCAGGGTACAGAGGATTTGGATGATGTACTGATGGATCCTCAGAGGCTGTTTGGGAGAAACAGGTGGTCATGCAGCTCAGTGGAAAAGTCACCAGGGGAGCGAGCACTACAGAAGGACTCAGTTCTTGTATTGCCTCTGCCTAGGGCAGGGAGTTCTAGAGAAGTGGCATCCTGTATCCTATCCTATGTCACTGTTCAGTGACAACAGGTGATGCTCTCCAAGTGGCTAAGTGGGGTAAGGCTTCCACAGTATTCAGTCATGTCAGTGTCAGCATGCCCCCCCCCCACAGTGCTGTGTTAGCGTTGTGCTAGAGTTGTGGTAGGTGCTGTGTTAGCCTTGTATTAGGGGTTGGTATCTTGGACACCTACATTCTCCAGGAAAGGCTCACTTCCCTTCCCAAGCTTCTAGAGTATAACTTCTTTCTGGATTTTCTCCCACTACTTGGATCCTGCTCTTTGTCCTTATTGTCCTTCATGGAACCTGCTTCTTCTGGCCAGACCTTAAGAGTTGCTTTTCTGAGCCGTGGAGATGGCTTGGAGTGTATGTGTCTAATCCCAGAGGCAGGAGAGTGCCTGGGCAGCTCCTGAACCACCTAACCCTGTCACGTGTAGCAGCAATAAAAAAAAACGAGGTAGAAGACACAGACTGATATCCAAGGTTGTCCTCTAACTCCACATGTGTACCTGCATTCTAACATATGAACACACATACCATACACACATTGTACACACATCGTACATACACATACACACAAACACACATATACACACTGAGTGAGGGGAGAGAGAGGCAGAGAGAGAGAGAGACAGGCAGACAGACAGACAAACAAACACACACACACACACACACAGAGAGGCAGAGAGAGAAAGAGAGACAGGCAGACAGACAGACAAACACACACACACAGAGGGAGAGAGAGAGAGAGAGAGAGAGAGAGAGAGAGAGAGAGAGAGAGAGAGAGAGAGAGAGAGAGAGATTCACTCTGGGTTCTATTCTGGACCCTGCTGTCTCTTCCCACTCTGCTGGTCACCTTGTCCTCCCAAAGACTGTGATGACCCTTTCTGTCCTGATGGTGGCTGTGCATATGTGTATAGCCCCCATCCTCAGGACCCCGTGGTCAGTGGTCTGGAATTCCCCCTTTCTTTGCTGCTTCCTAGTAAGTTGAATTCAATAGGCCCCTTATCTCCATCCCTCAGTTTAACTTCTTGGCCTGTATTTTATGCCCAGTGAAGAACTCTTTTCTGAGCAGAGTTGTCCGGGCAGAAAGTCCGACTGTTGTTCCAGACACATGGTGACTGCCCCACCCCCAGCCCTGTCATCCCTGAAGAACTTTCACTGCTACTATTTATTTTTCAGATGCCACCCCTCCTTCCCCTCGCCACTGCCAGCAGCCTAGGACAAGATGCAAGTTTTCTCAGACAGCCTGGGATCAGCACATGTAGCTCCTGCTTCGGGCCCCTCTGTGGCCTGGACCTGGTTTCCTGCCTTTCATACTTTGTCTCAATTCATTTCTCTTAGGGCTCCAGCACACTACATTTCCTTCAGTGCCCTGAAAAATGCTCCCCTCTTCCCTAGAGGCTTTGTAATGTGATACACATCCCTCCACTGGGTAAGTGAGTCCCTCTCTTCCCACTTGGACTCAGCCAGCCTCCCTTCCAGAGAGTCTCAGGGCCTCTCAGATTCTTTCCCCTTAAGAGTGCGCATTCTACTGCTCAATGCACAGTCTCCCTTATAGCATTGCACTGCCACGAGAAGAAGACCTGTTGCTTCCTTTGTCATCATGGTCACAAATGCCTAGCTCACAGCAGATGCTGAAACACTTGTCAGAACAACAGTTTGAACATCTTCCAACCAAATGTCTTGATGAGCAAGATTTATTGCTGCATAAAAATGGAGAATAAGACAGAGTTTAAGTCCAAGTCAATTATTACTGAGGTATGATTTGCGTATACGTGATGCACACTAAATGAACTCACTTAGGGCAGGGAAGACAGCTCATTTGGTAAAAGGCTCGACACATAAGCGTGAGGTCCTGAGTTTGGGTCCTCAAAACGACCACGAACAAAAGCTGGGCACAGTGGTGCATGCCTGAAATCACAGCTCTTAGGGGGTGGGGCTCGAGGCGACAGGAAAATTCTGGAGCTTGTTGGTCCTTCAGTCTAGTTGAATAGGTGAGGTGTAGGTTCGATGGGAGCTCTCATCTCAAGAAAACAAGGCAGAGGCTGGCCGTGGTGGTGCATGTTTTAAGTACCAGCCCTCAGGAGGCTGAGGCAGGTGGATCTCTGTGGCTTCAAGGCCACCCTGGTCTACAGAGTCAGTTCTAAGACTGCCAGGGCTTTATAGAGAAGCCTTGTCTCAGAAAAAGCCAAAAACACCAAACCAAACAAAAAGACGGAATGATTGAAGAAGACATGGAGATGGATCTGTGACTTCCGCATGCACACGCGTACACATTCAAGCACACACACACACACACACACACACACACACACACACACACACACAGAACTCACTTAAATGTATAGTTTGATGAACTTTGATAAATGTGTGTACTCCTCTAACAGGTACCACAAAACTCAGACACATCCATTCCTTTCATCTGCCATACCCCTGTGTAAGCCACCAGTACCCCTTGGTATGTGGGCTCTCCCTTCATGAGTGCAATCATTATTATGGTGCTGGCTGCTGTAACATTTCATATAAGTGGAATCATACAGGCAGTCCCATTTGTTTGGGGAATATTTCTACTCAGAATAATGTTTTCGAGATTTACTTAGGAGGTAAATATTGAAACAATTTTCTTCAGTATTGAGAAGTACTCAGTTGTGCAGACTGCCCACGATGTGCAGTCAGCCACCTGTGGAGAGACGTTGGGTTTCTCTCAAGTTTGGGGCTGTTAAGTCAATATCAAACATTTCTGTACGAGACTCTGTGTAGATGCATTTCACTCTGGGGGAAAGGTGCAGGTGTGGCACTGTTAGGTGTTAAGGTAAGTGAATGTATTTCTAACCTTATTAGAACCCACCACATGCTTTCCTAAAGTCCCAGTTTGCCCTCCTACAGGGAATGTATAAACATTCCTGTGGTTCTGTGTACTCGACATGACTCAGCATGTATGTAGTGGTGACTCCATGTGCGATGACATTTTATTGCCATGCTTACTACCGAGGGCATCCATTTCCTGTGTGTTGGCTTCTACTGCTTCCTTCCTCTTCTCCTCTTCCTTCCTTCTTTCCTGTCTTATCCCCAACACATAAAAGGTTTTTTACTTTGGATACAAATCTTAAAAAAAACACCAAACTTTGGCCCCCACTCCATTCTGATTTACAGCTTTCCTTTTTTATTTTATTAACAGTATCGTTCAAGGGACAGAACAGAAGATTTTAATTTGGATGGAATTTTTATCCTTTGGATAAGTTTTCTCCTTCCATTTCCTTCCAGGGATTTTGTAGCTATGAACTTTGGGTTGAAAATGATGACCCATCTTGAGTTGCCTTCTATGTGTGGTATGGCATGAAAGTTGAGATTTATTGTTGCTTCTACTAGGAACCAGTGATTCCTAGTCATTGTTTGAAATGACTTTCCCGCCTTTAATCCTTGGCAGTTCAATTGTTCATTTAACTTTCTAAAATGCTGAAACTCAACTCATCTGACCACATGTGGGTGGATCATAAATTGTTCCCTGATTTGGATCACTGTCTACACAACAACACCATGCCCTCCTCTGTTTAGTAAAATTTCTAGTGACCATAAGATCACACAGCATAGTCTCCCAACTTCACTCTTAATCTAAAATGATGTACTTGTATTAAAAGTCCTTTGCATTTCCATGTGGATATTTAAATTTGATTGTCGAGGTGTTGGAGAGATGGCTCAGCATTTAAGATCACTTGCTGCTCTTGCAGAGGACCCAGGTTCAGTTCCCAAGGCCCACATCAGGCAGCTCACAACCATCTGTAATTCTAGCTCTAGGTGATCTGATACCTTCTTCTGGCCTCCTCATATACCATGTAAGCACATGGTACATATACACACATGCAACTACTCACACATAAAATAAAATTTTAAAATTTAATTAATTTGTCAAACCCACCAATAATTAATATTCTCTAATTAAATTATAGTGATAATAGGGTTTTTTGAGAGTCCTTTCATTTTAACATTTAGTTGTCCAATCCATGAACATGATACATGTTAATAATTGAATCTTTTGCACTGTAGTTGTTAGTGTATAGGTCTTACAAGTATTTTTATACTTATTCCCAATTACTTGATGATTTAGATACTATTGCAGTCATGTTATTTTCAATGTTCTCCCATTTTTGTTGGTTCTCCCTAGAAATAATTTGCTGGGTACACTTTGATTTAGCATGCTGTGAAAAGCCAGTTTCATTTCTCCTGCATTCATTAAAGCAATCACATAATTTCCTCCTATGCTTCATGGTTCTAGTGAGTACCAATAGCTGATCTTTTGATCTTAAACTAATCATTGCATTCTTGCTGCAAACAGCATTTGATCATGATCCTTTATCTATTTTATGCATTGCTAAACTAATTTGCTAATAGGCATTTAACAGTTTTGTATCCATATTTATAAAGGGCATCGATTTGAAGCTTTGTCAATTGGTCTTGGTAGCATAGCAT